GGGGGCTTTTCCTTTTGTATCTACGTCCTCAAAGGCAGTGGGCCAGACCATCCGGTGCCAATAACGCTAGATTTTCAGGTGTGGATTGAACCGCAGTAAGAGTCCGAAGGCGGTGATCACCGCCTTGATGAGGGCCGGGCGCTGAATCTTGAAAAGGTCGGGTAGACGGTGCGGCTTAGGAACTTCGGCGGTAGAAAGATGGTCAAAGAAGAGGATGCGGTCGACAAACTGACAGTCGTTGATGAGGTGATGAACCGAAGCTACTTCGCCGCACCTGTCGCACAGGGGGCTCGAGATAATTTTGAAGCGATGGAGCGACACCGGCGAGTGGGTATGACCCAAGCGGGCACGGAGCAGAGGAGCCAGGAACTGCCGCGGCACGTCGTCTGCTAAGCTTATCCAGGTCCTGGAGCTTAGAGAGCGGCCCAGGGAAGGTTGTACACACCCGTAGGTCGAGTGGCAACCGCCGCTTCTTCACGGAGCTGTTGCCAATCGCTGTATACCGTAGCCTTGAGAGAGGGAACGAATGATCTGAAGTGCTGAGGCACCCTGTGAGGCGTTCCCAGACGACTGGCCTGTTTGGCAGCCTGGTCAGCCAGCTCATTAGGCGAGATGCCTTTATGGGCCGGCACCCAGGCCAACCAAACATCCGAGGCTTCGGTGCAAGCCTGCAGGGAAGTCCGAAGATGAATCAATGCCGGCTGATCATATGGAGAGATTTCCCTCCTGTCAAGGGCCACCACAGCACTCTTACTGTCTGTCAATATCAAGGCCTTGGTAGGACGAATATAAGACAGATGGTCACCTGCCAACTGTAGAGCTCGTATTTCTGCTTCATAGATGGAGGCTGATGAAGGAAGAGAATTGAGGATGGCCAGGGCAGGATCCACATTGACATCCACCACTGCAGCCCCCACCAACTCAGGGGTGCTCTTGACGGGAACCATCCGTGGCAAGTACATAATAATCAGCCCACACTGATCGACCCAGATAATCATAGAGTTCACCCCGCGAGGGAAATCAGCCGGAATCCGCAGAAGTCGTGCTGCTTCGACAGTTTCTGACGGAAAGAACCCGTGACGGCGTGGATTACTTCGGCCTTAGCATGTCTCAACAGATCAAGCAACTACCACCTGCTGTAGCTGCACGTTTCATGGCCCAAGTCCAAGATCTGGTGACAACTCTCCTACGTTGCTCACCTCAACAGTTGGAAGAGTATTTGGATGGTGCTGACATCTAGATTTGTATGGCTTTGTTCATTGTTCTGTATGCCAATCTTGCATACCATGTTTTATGTTTGAAAAGTTCAATTATGTTTTTTCCATGAAAATGTTTTATTTTTCTATGATTGTTTTGTTAATGTTACTTTTTCTTTGAAGATATATTTTTGTTTAAAAAAGCAAAGAAATGAGCAAAACTGAACTCGTAACTTATACTTTTATGATAATCTCAAGAGCTCGTCATGACTCTTCACCATCTGGATAAGTAGGCCCCAGATTTACATGCCATTGCATGATTCTCTTGTATACCATGTTTATTTTTTTAGATAATTTTTTGCATGCGCGTTATGTATTTATGCATTGTTCCATAGAAATAAATAAAAAATGACTGAGACTGATCACACTACATATGGTAACTTTATTACTCCAACCAGGTGTTGGTATCAAATAACATCAAGGAGGTCATCATACTGCCAGGGCAGTGGCTTGTTGACAATAAATAACTCCAGGAGTTTTTCCTACCCTACCAACAGAGATATGTCACAAAACGTCAGATTGACGTATTAGTGATGTGAAAATGACGTTTTAGGGTCCAAAAAGACGTCATAGTGATGCGAATTTTCATCATTTTGACGTTTTGTGACCAATCTCTGTTGGTAGGGTAACAGCTGTTCCAGCCAAGACATTTGCTTGGACCATTTCTTGAGATACAAGAGTCTTCAGGATACTGTTCTCAACATCTTTATTTTCATTTCTCCATCTTCCTTTCTTGATGTGACCGTTGCTTTTGTAGACATCAGCGTACCCTTCTGGTAGGTAAACTCTTTGTCGGGGGGGTATACTGTCTTCCCTTACTAAATGTAAATTATGTAAAGCTGTTGTAGAGAGGACAATGTTTTACACGAGGGTCTCACTGCCAATCATATTTGTGCGGAACACCCTGAATCTTGCTGCTAGAATGCCGAAGGCATTCTCAACCACTCTCCTCGCCCGTGACAGTCTGTAGTTAAAAACAACTTCTTCTGGTTTAGAACTACTTTCAAATGGAACTATAAGGTGGGTGTCAAGAGCAAATGCATTATCTCCAATGAACACATAAGGCAGAGGTGTCATCAGATCGTTGTTATAAACTGAGGGGGGCAGCTTCAACTGGTGGTTGTCGTACAACATTCCAAACTCGGATCTATCAAACACGCCAGCATCATGCTCTCGCCCTCTTGCTCCCACGTCTACAGCGATAAATTTGTACTTAGCATCACTTACAGCAAGGAGCACGATGCTATTACCAAATTTATAATTATAGCATTCAGAGCCTCTCATAGGAAATTTCTGAAAAATGCAGTACTGTGTCAGAAAAAAAGGAACGTGTCAGGTTAAAACATACATCAAACAATATTACGTCTACATGTCTACCTGTACAGTGCAGTGTTTCCCATCAATTGCTCCTAAGCACATGGGAAAATCCCACTTGGCCTCGAATTCTGCACTTTTTCTCCTCCAAAATTCTGGAGTGAGGGGCTCAAAGACAACATCCTTCAATGCACACCAAATAGCCGCAGTTGTTTCCAGAATAATTTCAGACACAGCACTGTCCGAAATTCGGAATAAGTACGAAATAGAAATTTGTGAGTCACCAGAGGCCAGGTACCTATTTTACATGGATAACAGTTAATGTAATGACATTGAGTGTGTACAAGTTTCTATTTTAAAAAATCCAAAATCAAATATATTTACCTTAAAGTCACAGCCAGTCGTTCACCAGCAGATATCGATTCCCTGCGAGTAGATTCCTTAGTAATGAGGTCAGAAACCTGTTCAAGGAGCCAGTCAAAACAGGAGGGAGTCATCCTAAGGAAGTTGAAGAATGCTTCTTCATCAAATTCTCTCATGACTGGTATTAGCGAAAACCAAGCCCCGGCCAATTGGCGGTCCAAGAAGATGGGCCGAACCCACCAACGACGGTTCTTTCTCATTTTAGCACAAGCAGCAACTGTCCGCAAACGCAGTTGATTGCGCCTTAATAAATTAAAGGCTGAGAGGCGTTTGATTGTTCCTGTAAAAATTGTTCAAAACGTCTTACAACAAAGCAATAGCCTCACCAACAATAGATGTTTAATTAAGAAGTAACTTACTGCGACTGTCTTCATACAACGGATCAAAGTCCTCTTCCCTTTGCAAATTAAACAGTATGTAGTTCCTAATCAATGACCTTACATCTGACTCCATTTTAATAAGCAATGAAATAATAGTTTATTGCTAGAAACTCACAACCAAACAAACAACACAAACGAAAGAAGCAGACAATCGACAATCGGGCCAACCTTACCGACTTGAAATCCACCGCACGGTCCTACACTTGCGGATTTGGTTTTTCTGAACTATCTTCTTCTCAAATGTGTATGTAAAAACGCATTTTTAATTTCAGTTTATCTTTAATTCGTTGCCAAACCGGAGAGGAGGACAATCTGTCCGGGCGGACAGGGGCGGTCACGGGCGGACACGGGCCCGGACGCGTTAGTGTGGGGGCGGGGGCACCTTAATTATACGCGCTGCCATATATTGGATACTCTGGAGAGGCTTCCATCTGCATTTGGCCTTCGGGTCATAAACCTCTATTCCATAGTCCAGAAGAGACCGTACAAGAGAAGTGTAAGCACGATGAAGTGTCATTGGCTGACACCCCCACCAGTGCCCAGATAGGGATCTAATAAAATTCAGGCGGAGCTTACATTTAGTCCGAAGGGCCTGAAGGTGAGAAGACCAGGTGAGTTTACTGTCCATAAGGAGTCCCAGGAACTTTGCTTCTGACTGGACAGGAACCACTCCCCCCTGTAGCCTCAGTGGCGGTGGAGGGGGAAGGTTCTTCCTTCTGGAAAAAATCACCAATTGCGACTTGGCAGGTTCTAACTTAGCCCCATTACATGCTATCCGTTGTTCCAGGAGACGTGCTGCATCCTGCAGTTTGTAGAGAGCCTCCCGTTGTGAGTTGTGAGAACATGTCACACGAATGTCGTCGGCATACTGAAGAACCAGGCAGTCGTCCTCCAGGCCAGAGGCAAGGTCGGCAGTAAACAGAATGTAGAGCAAAGGAGACCAAATATCCCCCTGGTTCAGGCCCTTGCTTGTAAAGCGAGGAAGGGTGAGCTGGCCATTGTGAGTAGCCTGAAGTGATCTATTGACGAGGGTACGGCGAATATTCAGAACCACAAATTCAAGAAGACCTTTCAGACGCAACTTGTCACACAACAGTGCGGAGTTGACATTCGGATATGCTCCACCTATGTCAGCAAAGAGTGTAGCCACCACCTTCTGCTGCTTGAAGCAATGATGGATAGTGGATGTGAGAAGGGCCAAGCTGTCCGTTGTACTGCGATTTGCCCGAAAGACAAACTGGAACTTATCCAAGTGGTGGATCGATTCCGCCCACCATTTCAAACGTTGCAAAGAGACCTTCTGGAAAGTTTTAAGGATGCAGGAGGTGAGTGCAATAGGCCTGTAAGATTTAGCTTCCGTTGCCTGTTTGCCAGGTTTCAAAATGGGAAGAATGACCGCCTCATTCCAGTCTGGCGGATGGAGTGCCGGAGTCCAGAAATAGTTGAAGAGCAAAGGCTCTGGAAGTTCCTTAAGTATAGAGTAAGTAATACCATCCTTTCCAGGAGAAGAGTCCTTCGTGCCGCGCAAGGCCTCTTGCACATCGGCCATGGTAAAAGGAGCTTCAAAAAACCTGTGAAGAGCCGTCTTGTCCTGGTCAGGGATAGAAGGAGGAGAGAGATATTCCTTGTCAGCAGTCAGAATCTCTTGGTGGTCCGGGGTGAAAATTTCAAGGAAATCCGCCAACCATTCCCCAGCTGTATGCTTGGGGGGAAGGGAACGCCCAGCATATCGCTTCGCCATCCGCCAGACCGGAGCCATAGGTGAGCGGAGTTTAATGGAATTGAGAAAAGTGCGCCACCCCTCCTTCTGGGCAATGCTATAGGTCTGTTGGGTGTCTCTCTCCTGACTGACGCACAATTCGAAATTCGCCGGGGTCCTGTTTCTTCTATATTCCCTGAGAGCATTCTTCTTCTGTTCCTTAGCAAGGCTGCAGGCCGGAGACCACCAAGGCTTTGGGGCAAACCTGTAAAAGGTGACAACCTCCCTTTTCCTGGGACAAGAGCTACCCATAGCTGAGGTAAGCAAGGAGACAAAGTCCAGATATGATTGAAGGCTAGGTGGCTGAGTCCACAGGCGAGTACCACCCTCCAGGACATGGTCCCTAAAGCGATCCCAGTCTGCTGCTTCCAACTTCCACCTCTTGGTAGCGAAATATTTCAAGATTGGCAAATCCGTTCCCGGATGTAACTCCAGAGAGAGCAACAGAGGGTAGTGGTCACTGCCCATGGCATCCCCCAACACCTCCCAGTCCAGGCGCAGGTGAAGGGCGGTAGAGCAGAGGGACAAATCTATGGCTGTGTCACGTTGACCCGGGTGGCCTCGACGGGTAGGAGCTAGTGGCCGGTGTACGTCAAAGGACCCTGCAAATCGCCCAAATGCAAAACCGCTCAGCACATCGATAGTTGGGACCAAAACAAACGTTTTGACCCGCAGAGGCAAACAAAATATTCCCTTAGTCAAAAAGTTATTACGGGTTAAAATTAACATGGCGCCTTACGGGGACTCCGGGTAGGCAACCCGCAGCACATTCCCGGCCGTTTTTCGCTGTTCGCGAGGTTTTTCCGCGAAAAACCTGACTTAGAGGTAAAGTATATTAACAAACATTGCAGGAGCGGTACAGAAGAGTGTACTGAAGACTCTCACGTTGAGATATTGTCAAAATATTGCCTGTGAGGGCGTCTAGAAGCCAGCAAAGTCCAAATTCCCGCACTTCTCAAATGAAAATTCCGGATTTTCGTCACTGTAGGCTTCCTGGAGAAGAATGTAGAGAACTGAAGCAAGTACGTGGTGCATTGCTCTCGATTTCTTGACACTTTGCACATCGATGAGTGACTGTACTGCCTGCTCCGTGTAAAGGTCGGACGAGCCAAGTATTTTGATCAAACCACATCCCTCCATTAGCTGTCCAATGACGCGAAGGAAATTTTGTTCAATGTGGAATGATTCAAACATAACGAACATTTTTCCCTCTGGAAATTTCGTCGGAAAGTTCCACATTGCAATTTTAGCAGAAGCAAACAATGGTTGGTCGCAGCAAAACACGGTTGGTTGGCCTGGATTCAGGCGCTGCACCGTTGAGTCTGCAATTTCCATCCCATGAACAACCATTGCCACGTCATTTGAGTCTTCATAAAAAAGTGGCAAGAGGGAATTTATTCCAGGATTAACACTTCCGCTCTCAGCAGCGTGCCCAGAGAGAAATTTTAGTGGAAAAGACGTGGAATCGACGTGGTGTTAGACGTGGATAACACGTGATGAATTCACGTGTTATCCACGTGAATTTGACTATCTCATCCACGATTTATCGACGTGTTGATCACGTCGATTCAACGTGACGTCGACGTAAATGTCTCCACGTACAAATGTCCTCCCTGCAGATCTGAATCTCAAATTTAGGTATAACTCTGCAATTTATATAGTTAGGTAAAGGGTAAGCAGTACAGAGAGAAATGGTTTCTTTGAGTAGAATGTTGACTTTATTTGATGAAACATGAAAACAATAACACAAAGAAATAAATCCTTATCTTTAAAACAAAAATAACAATGACTAGATGCAACACAACTTAAAGAAAAACATAAACAGTCTTTTCTCTGCATATATCAGCCAGTTTTTAATGACATCTTCGGCAGAAGGTACTACCCCTGCTACCTCCTTATTGCAATCTACCAAAGCACCTGAAAATAAATCAAACTAAATTACTATGAATATGGAGGCAATATTGTTATAAAAAGTGGTTAGACTTTTTATTACAACCATTTGAATTTGAAAAAGTAACGACAAGAATATAATTTTAAAAACACACTCTATCAGAGAGACAAGCCTTTCAACGTAACCTCATCTAGAGTTCAAAACAATGCACTGACAATAACACTGTGTAACAACAGTAGAAAAGGTCGGTGAAAAAAACAAACAAATTTTGAGTTGTAGTGTAATCAATTTGTCCTTCAGCCTTCAAGTCATTCCTGAGAGGTTAAGATAATCTAAACCAAACTAACCTAGTCTATACTTCGCCCACAATACAAGACAGAGATTAGATATCTTTTCTCGACTCTAAATCCATTTAACCGAATCGCGCTGAGAAATTTGAAGTTGGGACCTTCCTTACCTTCCAACTTTGATTAACGGCAGCAGTTCTGGTTCAAGCATGCTCTTGTGCCTCTATATCACTAAACGTCCACAGAAGACAAAACCTACACGACAAGAAATTACTAACAAGACTGACAATGCGATAATACAAAGAGGAAACGTAAAAAAATGATATTCACTTAGGCTTGTTTAATTTTTTGTAGTAATTGTAGTAATTTGTAGTAAAAGACCACAGACACGATACGACATTTCGAATGTTAACAACGTACGGTGCCTTCTTTTTTCCGTTCGAAACGAGACTCTCTGTGGTGTCGTGGCGGAATACTTTGAAAGGTGTTCTGTCAAGAACACTTTCTTAGTATTCTTCAATGAAGATGA